CGGGGGCGGCGGTCGGGCCGCGCCCCCGCTGTGACTTTCCTCTTCCCGGAGGCCGGAGGAGGGGCCTGGAGGGGCGGCGGCGGCCCAGGTGCGTTAACCCCTTCGGCGCCCCCGGCCCTCCATCCATCCCCTTGGCCGCGCGCCCGGCCCTGCGCACCGCGGCCAGGCGGGAGTCACCCATTGCTCGGAGGCGGAACCCGAGGTTCCCGAGCGCGCGCAGCCGCCCAAGGTCACCCGGCCCGAGCGTGAGTGGCCCAGCCGGGACTTCGGGGCCCACAAAGGTCACCCCCGCCCCTGGGGACGCGGTTTACCCCGCGGAGCTTTCCCTGGCGTCTCCGGCCCCTTCTGGACGCGTGGTAACCCGGACACTGCCCACCTTCAACCTCCCCGGACGCCCGAGGCCCCCGCCATTTCCCTCTGGCCCCGTTCGGACTTTTCCTCGGTGGGGGAGGCAGAGGCAGACGGGTTCCTTCCCTCCCTCCACTTCCTTTTGCCCTCTTCCCTTTGCCCCTTCCCAGGCAGGCCCCCCACATCCAGCTGTTGGGGCCCCTCCGGCCAGCTTGCTAGAGCTGGATCTGCGGGGAGGAGGGACTGGGCTGGGGGAGCAAAATCCACAGGCGAAGAGGCCGGGGGAGACTGGGCTGCCTGTGTCAGGCCCCCGGCTGGGCCACAGCTCTGGAAGCCTTTTCTGTGCCGCCGGTCAGCGGCCTCTCCGTCTCTGGGGTCCTTCCCACCCCTGAGAGCTCCCCCTCCCCGCCAGGAGAACGCCTGTCTGCCCAGCCTGTCTGCCTGGCCCAAGTCCCTTTCTTTTCATCCATCAACAAGTATTTCACTCAAAACCTTTTTTGTCCCCAAGCCTTTATTAATATGCTTGTGTGTGCCAGACCCAGCTACTCCTAGGGAGTGGACGTGGACTTGGAACACAGACGGGCATTCTTGGCCCAGAGGGGTCTGGGGTGATGGGTGTTCCCATCCAGGTGACTTCCAGAATCCTCTAACAGGTAAACACTTCTGCCGGTGCTGCTGTCGCCTGGATGTCTGTTCTAGTCTGTACCAGGTTGAGGTCCCACCGCTGAGCATACAGTAGGACCTCAAAATGCCCATAGCTGTTCATGGTCCAATAAACAACAGGTAACGTTCATCAAGCAGTTACAAATATGCCAAGCACGATTCTAGGTCTGTCCGTGAGTGACTCACTCCTAGAGGCACGTACTATTATTATTCTCACTTCACAAAGGAGGAAATAGAGGTGCAAGAGGAGAAAGCCCAGTGGGCCAGGTCCTATGGTTAATAAGCAAACCCAGGAGGCCTGCCTGGCTCCGGAGGCAGGCTCTGAGCTCTTCTCCCAGGGACAGCAGCTAGAGGGAGCTACTTTCCTGCCAGGAGGCCCCCAGGCACAGTGGGAGACAGGTGGTAGGAAACCTAAGGAGACTGCTTTTGGCAAGCTGGGCCCCAGGCCCCTGAGGCTGGGGTGAGGAGCCCCTTCAGCCCTTTCTTTAAGGCTCAAGGGGTCCTTGAGGGGGAGGAAAAACCCAGGGCACAATAGAATTTTCTGGGATGTTGCAAGCTCCAATCAAGGAATGTGAAGGGCCTTCCAGGCAGAATTCCAGAGAAGAACCCTGGGGCCAGCGCTCTTTATAGTGGCCCTTCCCAAGTACCAGAGCAGGAGGAAGGTCTGGCCTGCAGCACAAAGACCCCCTCAGCCTGGCTGCCTGCCGCTGAGGGCCGCCCACAGCGCCGCTGGCTACCCGTCCCACAGGGCACCAGGCGCCTCACTCCATTGCCCAAGCTTCTGGGTTCTTCCGCTTTGCCCTGCAAGTGTGGCCTTGAGGGAGGGCTAGCACCAGCCCACTCCACCTCCGCACTGACCTCTCACCTGGAAGCTCTGGGATCTCTTCAGGTGCCTGGTAAGGGGCGCCCACAGCTGTCCCTGGGAGGGGGTTTTGAGCCCAGGTTTGGAGACCAGAGGGGCGGAGTTGGGTTGCACCCTGCACTTCCTGGCTGTCACTAGGGGCAGGTGGATTATCCCTTCAAGACCTCAATTTCCTGCCAGCACGGGGTTATAGGAGATGGCGCATATGAAGCATACAGATCAGTGTCTCCTACGCAGCATCATGTCAGGCTGGCTGCTGTTAGAATATTATTATTGTTAATAGTTGACCCAACCCACAAGGCCCCAGAACTCAAAAGGGCTCAAGGAGGCGGTAATGGGGGAGCCGCCCAAGGCCCACGGAATGTTTGCCAGTGGAATCTGGTCCACTGAGAGGAACAGTTTGTCATCATGGATTCACCTGCTCTGTGCCTAGGTAGAACTCAGACTGGGGAACACAGACACTCAGCCCCCGACTGTGGGGTGGGGGCGGGGGTTGTGGGAGCCGGGCGAGGCCCGTGTCAGCTTTCACTATCAGTCTGACAGGCTCCCCTGCAGGCTGCTTGGGCCTGTCCCTATCAGGAAGCACTGTGGGGTCAGCCCGTCTGGCCCACTCCACCTCTTCAGGCCCCTGCGGGCAGAGCCCCAGCAGATTCCTGAGGATTGTCTCAAGCCACAGATGGGGTTGTTGAGCAAGGCCCCTGAGGAGAGCCAGGTCAGTCTGCAGATGGAATCTGCTCCCTGCCCTGAAGGCTGGAGATCCTGGGAGGTGGGGGTGGTCTGTCCGTAGCCCTGGAGGGAGGCTGGGGAATGGGAGGAACTAGTTGGGTCGGGGCTGGAGTCCCAAGCAGTGGTGCAGGTGGGTTAGGTGTCCCTGACACAGGGTCATGCTCTGCTCCCCTCAGGTTGACGTTCTGCCCTGGAAGAGAGAGTTCCGTGAGCCTTGACTGGGTGAACCCCAAGAAGCCCCACTCCTCCCCTCTCTCCTTCCCCTATCCCCATCCCCCATACCACTTGGACCTTCCTCTGCTTCTCTCCCCCTCCCTCTCTCTGCCTCCTGCCCATC